TTATAAAAAAAAACTCATGACATTGTTTATAAGGTTTTTTTAAACTTACTTTCATAAGTTCTTCACGATAACTAAACTTTACTTTTTATTTTAATTCAAAATACAAATACAATATAATAAGAATAACAAAATTATTCATATTTATTTAAATATGCCGGTCAAATAGACTTAAAGGTCATTTTTATGGCCTCTATTCTAGCCTTTTTAACGAAATAGCCTTATAAAAAATTAGACATTTTTCTATTTGAAAAAGGTCTGACCTGACCTGAGCCTGTGTAGGCTATATCGTAGGTCTCAGTTAGTTGGTCTGACCTATTCCCACACCTAATAACATTTTTTTCCCCGCCATATATGTGACTTTTGATTTTTCCCTCGGTAGAAAAAATGTGAAACCAACCTTACTTTTTCGAAGCCCTGTTAGGTCTATTAGTCTGCATAAAAGCCTATTGTATTTGAACATTTGTAAATATACAATTACATTAACGTTTGAATATATTAACAAATTAAAAGATCAATGAGACTAAATGTTTATTTGCATTGACTTATTCAAGTTTACATGTTAACAAATTTACATATTAACATAAGTTTTGTGATACGATTTCTTTGAGAGAACTTATGAAAACAACATATGACATTGTTCATAATGTTTTTTTAAACTTATTTTCATAAGTTCTTCAGGATAATTAAACTTTATTTTTTTATTTTAGTTCAAAATACAAATACAATATAATAACAATAACAAAGTTATTCAATATGTCGGTTTGATAAGCTTAAAAGAGTTTTCTTTTTATGGTCTTTGTCTTAACCTTTATAACTAAATAGACCTATAAAAAGTCTAGACCTTTTCTATTTGAAAAAAAAAACTTGACTTGATATGAATATGTATAGACTATGTCGTATGCCTCTGTTAGTTAGTCGGACCTATTCCCGCATCTAATAACATTTTTGCCCCTGTAGTGTAGAAAAATGTGAGACTAACCTTACTATTTGAAAATTTTGTCATTTTAGACTTTGAGAAAAATGACTAAGCAAAAACACATGTGGCACGTTGATTATATATATATATATATATATATATATATATATATATATATATATATATATATATATATATATATATATATATATATATATATATAATTTAAAGTTAACTTAAATATATTGTATTAATATATAGTTAGTTTTGTGTAATAAATAATAATAGATTTAATGTCCTAGTGGTAAGAGGTAGCACCCATCACCACCATGTATGGTTTGTAGAGTGAAGGATGTCACTTTATATAAACTCTTTGTGGGCATTATCTTTAATCAATGTAGGATTTAGATTTTTCCCATATAACTCCTTGTACTCAACACTATTGGACTTGATGCATGAATATAAATTATGGGTGGCCCAAATTATCGATGTGTGGAATTTGGTTTTTTCAATCCACCTCCTTTTGCCCAACACTTTTTTAATGGCTTGGTGCGTATGTAAACTATAGATGACTCAAATCAATTGGCTCGTGATACCATGATCGAATTAGAGTTTAGTGTAACTTAACCCTATAAAATTGACTCGTAGGATGAAGGATACCACTTTAGAGAATTTCTTATCCCACCCCATAGGTTTCTTTTCCACCATGTGATTTTCCACAAATGCCCTCAAATTCCAGAGATATATCTCCGGGCGCGCCCCATGGCTTAATAATATTCCAGAAATATATCTCCGGAGCAATTTAAACCTTAAACGGTGACAACATATCTCCCATAGCCCATTTCCATTTGAATTTGTTCGGAGATGCATTTACATAAATTTTCCGAAGATACATCTCTGAAGTGTTTCAGAACAGTTTTTTAAAACACATTGTGTATTTGTTCACGTATGAGCTATAAAATAACAGGCACAACAAAATAACACAACAATATAGTAATAGGATGTCATACGTCACGTAAATCCAAAATGTAATAACAATGTCAGGAAAAACGTACAAATTAAACTACAGTATTAAAATAAAATAAATACAGACAACTACTAGGTACAAAACTGCCTCCTATGCCTGGTCTGAGTCCTCAACCATCGTCTCCCCTGTCCTCGTGCGATGTCTGTTGTACAAAAGTGCCTCATGTTCCTCCTTAGTAATGTCATCCAGTACTCGTCTGACAGCAGACCCCTCAGGGAAGATATCCTCGGCAATGCCTGTTTGCTCATCTCCACTATGTGATGACAACGAGGCAAGACATCCTCAGTATGATCCATCTGAGGCTGCTGCTCCTATAGAATCTCTTGATGAAGGGGTCTTGGTGGATCTCATGGAGCATTCGGCGCCATGTACGAATGTGAGACCTTGAAGAACCACTTGATGTATCTGTCGATATAGCTCCAATCATCCGACGCTATGGTAGTCTGAGCCTCATCTAGTATCAGATGACTATGATAATCAACAAACATCTCCTATATCTGTATACGAGTTAAGGTCGGGGTGCATAGATAACAGAGTGTCTAGGGACGGTCTGGGTGTACACGAACTACCGCATGACGCGTTCAGGCAAATGAGGAGCAGTGTCCGTCAACGAGCAGGTCAGCCATATGGAATATAGTGATATGCGTCAAATGGTCGCGTTTAATGGTGATCCACGTATTAGTTGAAGTAGATGTCCTCAACAACCAAGCGGTCAAGATAGACTCTGAAAGGCTTGATCACCCAGTTCCCTCTCAGCGGGGTAAAAGCACAGGCACGAGGCATCTTCTCAGTGTACTCCTCCCAACACGACCAGCCAGCGATGCACGGGAACTGTTGGAGGATCCAAACTTGAAATAAAATTAAAAAAGAATTCAAGGATCAAGAATTATTGCAAATATGAAATGAAAAAATAAAAAATAATCAATGATAAAAAGTATTACCACCAGTAGGTTCGTGCTACATGTAGTTTGCCTCGTCGTCCATTGGCATCCATCTCTCAACTTCGAATACACGAAAACCTAAAATGAGCACCCCTAGTCCTATCCACCTCCCTCAGCGCCTTCAATGAACCAACCCTAGATGCTCCACTATCATATCGACCGCCTCGTTTTTTATCATCCTACCATAATGGAGAAATATCCTTCTGATCGATAGATGCAACAAACACGAGACATCGTCCAGTATATTTGGCATCTCACTGCATGGAAGATGAAAGGAAGAGGTCCCAGAGTGCCATCACTCCATGAATGCTTCCATCATCCCGTGGTTGACCAAAGTGTAACCGGTCAAGCATAGGTCACTCAACCCAGAAGCGGTGAGAACCGACTGAAATGACTCCGCCTCAGGCTGATGCAATGTTAAAATCTTCTGCTCATGGTTCAAAAACTTCTGGGGATCACGCACCTGCGAATTTCCAAAAATAATTAATGTCAGCAAGAATCAATGTTAGAAATAATCAATGTCAGCAATTTAAATTATTGTAAAATAATATAGTAACAATGTGACTAATGTTACCTCTCCGTCCTAGATATGTCTGGCAGTGTGGTCTGGGTACAAAGAAAGTAGGGACATATCATATGGACCCACTCCAAAAGCCTATGACTTGGCATCAGCAACATCACCCTCCGGAGGTGACACATATACATCACGATCAGCAGGTGCGACCGGGTCAACCAGAGGTGACACTAGATCAACAGGAGGTGGCGCATGTGCATCCCGCTGCCTGCAAGAGGATGGAAGAAGTAACGCGTCAGCTGATGCATCCTATGGTCTGCGGGAAGAAGATGAAGAAGGTGGTGTGAATTGAGACATAGATGAAGTGGGCTGAGATGTAGCTGGAGTGCCATGAGACATAGATAGAGAGGCCTGGGACATAGATCAAGTGGCCTGAGGTGAAGGCTGAACCACAGGAGTGGAGTGAGCCTTAGAAGTGGATTGTACACCAACAGTCGATGCCTCTCCCTGACCAGAGGCACTTGCATCTGAAGCCGACTAGCTCCACTCTCGTCTAATGGATGCATGTTGGGCAACCCGTCAATGTCTACTCTGTCAGCCATTATGTCTGTAAGATATAATATAATTAATCATACAATGAGTTTATGAAATAAGAAAAATTATAAAACAAAAAGAAAAAAACAGACTGAGAAAATTTTGGAGATACATCTCCAAAAAGATTCAACGTTTCATGTACTTTGGGTAATTCCAGATATACAACTACGGAAACATTCCACATATGTGTCTCCAGAATCACCCATAATACATGAAACATTGAATGTTTCCAAAGATGTATCTCTGGAACATTCTGCAACTGAGAAGTCGCACCAATGATGTCCTTTGCCCCTCAGAATTACAAATTTGAGACCCTGATCATCCATTTGAGTTATCAAACAATACATGCGGTTTCTCTAAACTATGCTTTATCTAATTTCTAAACATTTCAACACCTAACAATGGATTTTAACTCGTTTACAACAAAACTCGAATATTTATCGAAAACTTGAAAAACTTACCCGGATTATATGATTCGAAAGATGTTGAATGATGCATTTGATGCAGCTTGATGATTACTTGATCCTCAGACGGAAGAAACCAAATTTAGTGAAGTTTGGAAATTTTGGGAATGAGAGAGATGAAGAGATATGAGAATAGAAATAAAAAAGTGTGGGAGGAGAAGAGTCTGGCGCAACAATATACTCCAAATTGTTTTAAAGATATATCTCCAAAATATTTGAACGTTCAATTGATCTTTGATGTGTCCAAAAATATATCTCCGAAATATCTTAATGTTTAGTTAAAATAAGATAAGATGCCTTCGAAGATATATTTCCGAAAATTATAAACATTATAAAATTTTGGCATTATGTCTAAAAAAAAAACACATAGAAAACTTTAAGAAATTCTTCCGCATTATACAAAATCTTTGTAGGGGATTTTTCCGATAAAAAGTCTCATAAATTGAGTATATAAAAAGGAAAAGAACCCGTACAAATTGGGGGAAAATGTGTCCGCAAATAGAAATGAAAACATTTGGATGAAACTTGGATAAGTTTCAGCAGTATGCATTCAGCCACAACACCACCCTTCTCTCAGCTTTTCACCTTCCAAGCAAACCTTCAAACTTTCCAATCAAGAACTCCCACCCTTTTCTACTCCCCAACAATGTCTTCACTTTCTGGTGCTAAAATCAGAGTGAAACCACCACTCGCCTTGGGTAATTCTTCTCCATCTTCATCCACAGTATCAGACGATGATGGGTCTTTCACATTGATAGAGTATTTAGGTAAGGGAAGAGGAATAGGTGTGAACGATGATTTGGTGGTGTTGATTGATCACATACAGTACGCTTGCAAGAGAATTGCAGCTCTTGTTGCTTCTCCTTTCAATTATACTATTGGAAAACAAACGGGTCTTGCTCATGTGCCAAACACTGGTTCTTCTGATAGGGATGCTCCAAAGCCTCTTGATATTATCTCGGTCTGTTTTTCTTCACTCTTGAATTTTATTAGTTTGTGTACTGTTTTCTACTTTTAGATTACCATGGTTAGTTTTATAAATGTTATTAGACAGACACATCAATACCAATAATAATATGAAAAAAATGAATAACAGACACTTACACAGACACATCAATACCGATAATAATATGAAAAAATGAATAAATTGAAAGTAATCACAAGTATAAGTGTCTGTGTTGAAACTCAGACATAAACACGTTTTGTTTTAGAGGTGTCGGTGGATATTGTTTGCTACATCCAAATTATTTCTAACCATTATTTACCAACTTGTTATATCCCTTGACCATGCATCATTGAAGAATGAAGTGATCTTGTCCTCACTTGAAAAATCTGGAAAAGTTGCTGTCATGGCTTCTGAAGAAAATGATTTACCAACCTGGATAAGTGATGACGGTCCATACGTGGTCGTGACAGATCCCCTAGATGGTTCTCGAAATATCGACGCATCCATTCCAACAGGTACAATTTTTGGTATTTATAGGCGCCTTGAGGAGCTGGATAATCTACCAACTGAGGAGAAGGCTTTGCTGAATTCACTCCAAAGTGGGAATAGGCTGATAGCTTCTGGCTATGTTCTCTATTCATCTGCAACTATACTCTGCATCACCTTTGGTTCTGGTACTCACGCATTCACGCTTGACCGCTCAACGGGAGACTTCGTTCTCACAAATCCAAATATTAAAATTCCTCCCCGCGGTAACATTTTCATCTCACAAGTGTTTATGTCACTAGATAAGTTCAACGGGAGACTAAGTTTATGATGTTATTGACTGCTCTCTTGTTTTGTTACTCAGGGCAAATATATTCGGTAAATGATGCAAGATATTTTGATTGGCCTGAAGGTTTAAGGAAATATATAGATACTGTGAGACAAGGAAAAGGTAGATATCCTAAGAAGTACTCTGCGAGGTATATATGTTCTCTGGTGGCGGATCTCCACCGAACTTTGTTGTATGGGGGTGTGGCTATGAATCCGAGGGACCATCTTCGTCTTGTTTATGAAGCAAACCCTCTTAGTTTCCTTGTGGAGCAAGCTGGTGGAAGAGGGTCTGATGGAAAAAGTAGGATTCTTTCGCTTCAACCAGTTAAACTTCACCAAAGACTTCCTCTCTTTTTAGGGAGTTTGGAAGACATGGAAGAGTTGGAAAGTTATGGAGATGTACAACAGAAAGTAAATCCTGGTTATGAGGTATGAGGCTAGAATATTGAAATTTTGAATGTTCAACCTTCATGTTTCCTAATAACTAATAACAAATTTGTGTATTGTTAGAATGAGACCTTGATTTGTATGGTATATAAGTTACAAGAGTTATGAATTTACATATTTACATATATGCTTATAACATGAGAATAATAAGAAAATGACATGGCAAGACAAACGTTTGTATTTATAGAAAAAAATAATGTAATATAGACAATTTGTATATAGAGGAAGTGAGGGTGGAAGCATTTTGGGATTTATATGAACATAATTTCCACCTTTCTCAAGCACATCCTTGGAGAAGAGCAACTGGTTGCAACCATAAAGGATGTTATAGTAGAAAATGGAAAGTAAAAAACAACAAATATTGTTGGTTCAAGAAACAAAGATGATGCCCTAATCAATGTTGAATCATTACAAACTGATGGTCCAATATTTGATGTTGTTGCACACAAAAATTCAAAGTTGTTGAGAAAGAAAATAAGAAGAATAAGGAAGCTGAGAAGAAAAAGAAGGTGAATTGTGGATGAGAAAGAATAAAAAAAGAAAAACTCCAATAAACATGGTGGAGCATGAGAGAGAATTAGAGAAGGAAGAACAAAACCAAGAGGATGAGGAAGAAGTTGAACCAGAAAAGAAAAAGAAAAAAACAACAACCGGAGCAAGAATAAAAAAAATCACTACAAAGAGCAATTAACTTCAAAGATGGGGTGAATTGTGGAAAAATAATTCAACTGCTTAAAGGAGTTTTTCCTTATACGATTTTGATCCAATTTACATCTTGCAAAATAAGAATCATAATACCCAACCAAAGTACAATTTGTCTCTTTGGAATACCTAAAACCCATATTTTGTGTGTTACTGAGATACCTTATAATGCGTTTGACCATAATAAGGTGTAACTCTTTACGTTTTACTTGAAAATATGCCCACATACAGACACAAAATATGATATCATAATAACTAGTAGTAAGATAAAGATGAAAGTTGATCATACATCTATATTTGCTTTCTTCTATTAGTTTTTCTACCTCGTCTTTATTTAAGTAACATGATATGTTCACGAGAGTTGATATTTCTTTGTAATTTTACATCTCAAATATTTTTAGAAGTTCTTTGCAGTATTTTTTTTATTGATGAAACTCTTTCTTTTGTTTGATGCATTTAAAGTCCAAGAAAACATTGTAGCTCACCCATCATTGACATTTAAAATTCAATTTTCATAATGTTAGAAAAATCCTTACACAAATATTCAATAGGAAGAATGAATACAATGGCATGCTTGGATATTTTAATGAAAAAAGTTGTATATGATGTTCTGCTTATCAAGTATAACATGTTTTCATGATGACAAAGGGGATCAAAGCAAAAGTCATAACACAGAGAGGGAAGTTTGAAACAAATAAAAATTTAAAGGTTTGTGATGATTGGATCAAAAGAATCAAATTCTAAAGAACATCATCAAGACACATTTTCATATGCTAAAAACTCGCTTGTCATCATGTGTTATGTTGTCTTATTTTTTTAATATGGTTGTTTATTGTTGTTTTTAGTAAATTAAATTATAAGTTTTAATTCACTTATAAGATTAAACTCGAAAAAATCCTAAGGACATATTGTGCAAAAATGTAGAAAATTTTTGTGTTCATGCTTTATAACTTAAGTTTAAAAGTAGAACAGTCAGATAAAATCACAAAAAATAAAATGCAGAATTGTTTGATAAGATAAAGTAAATGATGAAAATCATAAAAGGGAATTGAGTAAAATGCTTAGATTAAAAGGTGGGACGCATATTCATATATTTCTCACAAATTTTATGATCTAAATAACTTGTATGTTTGAATTTTATAGAGAACAACGATGAAAAATATGAACCCTTGTTACAGAGATTATATTGACTTATATATAAGTATATTAGTAATCATCGACAACTGTCAGATCTCCAATAATCGAGACGTGCACTGTTACGTGGCCTTCTGTCATTTTCTTTTCTTCCACATGTCTTGATCCCTTGAACTGCTGCAAAACTGCTATTATTTTTGAAAAAACATCTCCAGGTTTCCTAATTGCCTTTGTCGAAAATCTTTCCTATCGGAGCTTGTGACTTTGGTGTCGAAAACCTTTCCTATTGGAGCTTGTGACTTTGGTGTCGAAAACCTTATTTAGCTATCTATACTTAGCATGAATTTGTATCCATCTCCACTTTTGTCGAACATACTGGGTCGAAAATCCCAGGCTAATAGATGTCCTACAAATATGCAAATATTGTTCATGTTTGCAATATGGAAGAAAGGTGGCGTTTTTAATACACTCTCGATATTGTTCAAACCAATATGCATATGTCACCCTCATCATGATCTCTGCCATTTAGCTGTCACATCAGCCTACATGTGTGCACCCACCATCATGATTTCAACTTCCAAGGTCATCGTGAGCCACAAAATTAATTACTTTAAAAGAAAATTATTTAATTAATTTTAATTCAAAAATTAAAAACATTAGTGGATTTTTAGAGGGATCATTAGTGGATCTTCGTGCGTTCGAAGATATAAGGTTTGAGTTAGAGTTCATGGAACATTCCAACCGTGTGTTCCGTTCTTCTCCTTCCACTAATATTGACGCTTATCTTAGTTAGTTACATAGAGTAGAAAAGACAAAAGCATGGAACTGGAAAGATTAAGGTGTTTTTGATTAATTCAACTATCGAAGACTAGACCCAAGCATAACCCTTACATTTTTATAGCTGTTATCTTCTTTTGGGAGTCTTCAGCCAACACTTTCCATGGTACCACGTGGAATAATCACTCTCACTCTTTTCGACATTGATGTTATTACTGGTCTTCGACCAACTTGGGAAACTTTCAACCCCACTCTTAAACACCATCATCTTAGCTTCAGCAACTACACTAAAGACCATCACGATAAAACTAAGGAAGTCTCTAACTCTGAGTACATTGTTTTCCTCACTTCGTGGCTCTCCCATTTCAATTTTTGTTTTAGCTCGCTCCAAGTTGCCAAAAAAATTATACCTCTTGTAACTCAAATTCATGAGGAAAGGGATGTTTTTTCCTTAGTAAACTGATCTTAGGTTTCCTTTATGAGTCTTTAGGAATTACTTCTCTTGACCTTATGACACGAACTAACCCTGAGGATAACTTCCTAGTTTCTGGCCCTATCTGGCTTTTGTAGATTTGGTTTAACACCACTTTTGAGCCCTCCCTGAAAACTAGTGTTTCGTCAAATCTAGAAAGATGAATCAAAGGTATAAAGCTTGATACGCTGACCCCAAAAGACACTAATCTTTCTCCTAAAAAGGATTTTGAAAAGTAGTTTTTCATGTTCAAAAACTATAATAATTTTGTCTTCACTATGACATCATCTGCTAGTCGAAGTTATGGGTCAGAGTGGTTGAGAAGGCCATTCCCATCCTCTTCACTTGGAGGCTAAATTGAAACTCTCAACATTTGAATGGAATTCTTTAAACCTACTATCTTGTCGACTATAATTTCAACTGCAAAAACTGGCTTTGGGCTTGTCGCGTACCAACCATCTTTGGTAGCTCGATAATTTGGCCTCAGTCAATTCCTGCCAAAAATTTCTTTTCAACAAAGAAGACGGGGTTTGTCTTGTTAATGATATGCCAATTGAGGTATTTTACAAGGAATGTTTAAACTTTTACGATAAAAAAGTCATTACTTTGAATCCCTTTAAATTCGAAACCTCTCTCTATTGTACCAAAGAATTTGAAGATTGGTGGTTTGCCTACCACATTCGTGTTGATGTGGACACTTTGACTCTACCTTTAAATCTAACAAATGTTTTTCCTATCTGCAGAATAAAAATAAGAAAATCCAAGGCATGTATGTACATAAAAGAGATTTGAGCTTTTCAATATTACTTATAAATTGTGTATAATCCTTGTCAACTTAGTAGAACTATTTATGATGCAACTGCTACATTAAAACAGAAAGTTATTGAAAAAATTCCTCAACTTCATTTTCCTCCTTATATAAAGGACTTGTATGATTTTGCTTTAGAATTTAATCTTACCAAATTCCCACAATTTCCAACTTGTGAATTTGGCTTAGCTTTTCGGCTGGCATTTCCAAACGGGTTGCCCTGTTAGTCTTTGTTAGCTTTAAATAATAAATTGAAAAACCTACCCAAAGAGTAGTTTTGAATAAGTACAATATACACAATTTCCCACAGCTTTTAAGAATATATCTTGATCATGTTCAAGTCATATCCACCATCCAAAAAGGTCAAATAAAAGGGCTTGTAAAATTCACTAACTCCATTTTATGTCACCAACAAAGGTAAAGAAGTTATTATGAATAATGGCATATCCGAGGAAGAAATAAGGGGGTTACAAGGATTCAAGATTGATAAAATAAGACCATCTAAGATGTCTCAATATCGTACTCAATATTCTGAATTATCTTACGAGGATTGTGTCATTAAAGTGATGGTTGATCGTTAGACTGAAGGCCTCCCAATTTTGAACAACCTATAGTGGTTCAGAAGAATAGTGGTTATGACTCAACGATTCCTTCTCATATGAATGGTGAAAATCATGATAGGATGGTTGGTAAAGCAGGAATTTCTACTTCTCTTCACAACATCTTCTTGCTATTAAGTCTGGTCTAGCTGCTGGTGGAAATATGAATGTTCCACTCAGGTCTGGGCCAATGAGAAATCATCATGACACTTCAATGTCTTCTGGTGAAGATTTACAGGAAACAAAGTTGAGTGGTCCAGATGGTAATAAAGATGTGTTAGACATCATGTCTGACATATTGAAAAAGTCTCAAATGCATAAGGAGAGTGATGATCTTGTCCATGAAGATGTTGAAGTTATTATAGTTGTAGCTAACAGTGGTGGTATTGATAACACTGATCATGCATTAGAAGGTGTGTATACACTAAGTGAAGGAGTGATGGGTAAGAATGAAAGTATTCTTATGGTTAATGCTTCTAATAGCAAAGAGTGTGGA